ATATATATATTTGTTGTTGTTGTTAATCCTCACCTGAGGATATATTTTCTATTGATTTTTAGAGAGAGTGAGAAACATTGATGTGAGAGAGACACATGGATTGGTTGCCTCCCACATGGGCCCAGACTCAGGATGGAGCCTGCAACCGAGATATGTGCCCTTGATCAGAATCGAACCCGGGACCCTTCAGTTCACAGGAATAAAATATATTTTTGAATGACCATATTCTTGGCAAGAAATAAGGTCTGTGTCCCCGCTGTAGTTAGGCCAGTACCAGACATAATGGGCCCACAGAAACATTTGCTAAAAGAAGCAAATGAAAGACATTTATGATTTCCTAATCTAAACTGAACTTCATCTTAGAAATAGACACATCATAGTTTAGCATGTTTTTAATATAAACCCAATTTTCCAGGACAAGAAAACCATGAAATGGAAGGCTGTACTATATGTTTTGCATTATTGGAGCTAATTACCATTTTAGAAAATGGCCCCCGCTGGTGTGGCTCAGTTGGTTGAGCATTTTCCCATGCACCAAAAGGTCACCAGTTGGATTCCCAGTCAGGGCACATATCTGGGTTGTTGTGGGCCCAACCCCATAGGGATGTGCAGGAGGCAGCAATCAATGTCTGTCTCTGTCTCTGTCTCTCTCTGTCTCTCTCTCTCCCTTTCTCTCTAAAATCAATAAAAACATATAAAAAATAGGAAATAGTCATCAATGGCAACACGTCATAGCCTTTAAGTTGCCAATAGAATACACCTGCACAAATCTTCACTTGCAGCTGCCCCGTTCAGAGTGATTTTCTGAATAAAGAAACATGTGCTGTTTCACAATGACTTCTAATGTAGCCATACCAGAGAATTGACATATGAAATGTATGTGTTTTTTTTTTAATATAAATTGCTTTCTTCTTGCTGCTTCTTCGCATTACAAGTAATTACGTCGATATTTTTAAATTAAATATGCAAATAGATTCTAGTAGCTTTGAACTTCATTCCAGGATAGAAAAGAAAGTCTAAAATTAAAAAAATATTATTTTATTGATTTCTGAGAGGAAGGGAGAGGGAGAGAGAGATAGAAACATCAATGATGAGAGAGAATAATTGATTGACTGCCTCCTGACATCTCCTACTGGGTATCGAGCCCATAACCCGTGCATGTGTCCTTGACGGGAATAGAATCTGGGACCCTTCAGTCTGCAGGCCGACGCTCTATCCACTGAGCCAAACCGGCCAGGGCTGATTTCATGTCTTTATTTGTTAATTTGCTCATTCCAGGATCCACACATTCAACATTCATGAAAATTTAGAGAAACACTCACCTCCTTGGGGAATCTAATTTTTGAGGTTCCACAAGTGGTTTTAGGATAAAGCTAACTTGAGGGGCATGAGGCAAGGTGGGGAAGAACCCAGGCTTTAGGGTCAGGCCATGGGATCCAATAACAGCTCCAGCCCTCTCACAACCTTGGAAATGTCACTAAACCTTGCCGAGCTCTCGTTGGCTCACCAGAAAATGGTTGAGAATATATCTGGAAAAGCCGGACACGTACGAAGTAGGCTTAAATGCCAACTATCATGTTAATTTGTGAGCCTCGAGGTGGACATAAGTAGAAGGTGAGGTACAGAAGTCAAGGGTCACAGAAAAAATTGTCTCGGATCTGATTAAATATAATATTTCACCATATAACATTACTTTAAAAATAATTAAGCAATTTTTTAAAAATATGTTTTTATTGAATTTTGAGAGAGGAAGGGAGAGGGAAAGAGAGGGAGAGAGAGAGAGAGAGAGAGAGAGAGAGAGAGAGAGAGAGAGATGTGAAAGAGAAACATTGATCAGATGCCTCCTGCAGGAGCCCCTGACCTTTTGGTGCATGGGATGATGCTCAACCAACTAAGCCACACTGGCTAGGGCCATAATTAAGCAATTTTTGATAACCTTTAAAAATTGTGGTAAAATGCACATTATGTAAAATGTACCATCCTAACCATTTTTAAGTGTACAGTTCAGTATTGTTAAGTACATTCATATTGTGTGCAACCAATCTCTGGGACTTTTTCATCTTGTAACACTAGAACTCTATTCCCACTAAGCAACTACCCATTGCCCTCTTCCCCCAGTCCTTGGCAACCACCATTTGACTTTCTGTCTCTATGAACTTGACTACTTTAGATATCTTCTATAAGTGACATCATACAGCATTTGTCATTTTGTGAGTGGCTTCTTTGACTTAGCATAACCTCCTCAAAGTTTATTCATGTGTTAGAATTTCAATCTTTTTTATAGCTGAATAGTATTGAATTGTATGTATACAATGTATTTTATTTATCCACTTATTCATAAATGTAGACTTGGGTTGCTTCCACCTCTTTGTATTGTGAAGAATGCTGCTATAAGCATGGGTGTACAAATATCTCTACAGGACCCTTTTGGGTGCATACATAGAAGTGGAAGAGCTGGATCATGTGCTAATTCTATTTTTAGTATTGAGGAACTGTCAGACTGCTGCAGAATTTTACATTTCCGTCAATAGTGTAAAGAGTTCCAATTTCTTTTCATCTTCACCAACACTTGTTATTTTCTGTTGAACTGGGGGGAAAAAATAGAAGCCATCCTAGTATGTGTGAGGTAAAATCTCATTGTGCTTTTGATTTGCATTTTCCTAATGATTAGTGGCATCCAACAGATTTTCATATGCTTTTTGGTCGTTTGTGTATCTTCTTTTAAGGAATGTTGTTTCCCCATTTTAAAATTGGGTTTTTTGTTATTGAGTCGAAGGATTAGGCTCTTATCAGATAAATGATCTGCAGTATTTTCTCCTGTTCTGTAGGTTGCCTTTTCATTCTAATTGTTCATTGATGCACAGAAATTTTTAATTTTGATGTACTTCAATTTAACTCTTTTTTTGTTGTTGTTGCCTGTGGTTTTGCTCTCATATCCAAGAAATCAATGCCTAATACCATGCCATAAAGCTCTTGCCCTATATTTTCTTAAGGAGTTTTAATGGTTTGGGCTTTTATAATGAGGGTTTTGACCCATTTTGAGTTAAATTTTGTAGATAGAGTAAAATAAGGGCTGAAAGTAATTTTTTTTTTTGCATGTGAATATCCAGGTGTGTGCCAGCATCATATTTTGAAAATACTATTCTTTGAATTGTCATTTATTCCATTGAATTGTTGTGACACCATTGTCAAAAACTTGGACTCTAAGTTCTATTCCATTGATGTGTACATCTATCCTCATGCTGCTACCACACTGTCCTGACTATTGAAGTTTTGTAATAAGTTTTGAAATTGGAAAGTGTGCGTCATCCAATTTGGTGCTGTCTTAAGATTGTTTGAGCGACTCCCCAGTGGTCTCTGTCCTCAGGGCAGGATGACTGTAGAGCTCTGAATGTGCTTACGCAGAATGTACCCTGCGGTTAGCAATTTCTGCTTCCACCTCCTTCTTTCCTTTCCAGATCCCACTGTCTTTAAGGCTCCTTTAGTCTGACAAGTTAGCCAATCTTGTTTGATTTCATCTCCCTTTTCTTTTTTTAATAAAGACTTTTTTAAAAAATATTATTTTATTGATTTCTGAGAGGAAGATTGATTTGAATCTTTAGAATAATTTGAGGAGAATTGCCTCTTAACAAAAGTGTCCTCTGATTAATAAACACGGAATGTCTTTCCATTTATTAGGTTTTTAACTTCTTTTAACAATGTTATTAGTTTTCAGTGTACAATCTTTTACTTTGTTACATGTATTTCAATGTGTTTTGTTCTTTTTTATGCTATTGTAAATGGGATTCTAAAATTTATTGTTGTATTTTTCATTGCTAGTATAGAGATATACAATTTATTTTTTTATATAGATCTGGTGTCCTATAAACTTGCTAAACTCACCTTTTAGTAATAGAATGTTTTGTAAGGTCCTTAGGGTTTTTTATATACAATGTCATTCCATCTGTGAATAGAAATAGTTTTATTTCTGGTTTTCAATCTGGATGACTTTTATTTCTTTTTCTTGACTAATAGCCCTAGCTAGAACCTTCAGTAAAATGTTGAATAAACATGGTGAGAGTGGATATATGGGTCTTATTCCTGATCTCAGGGGGAAAGCCTTTTGGTATTAAGTATGATGTTAGTGGTGGCTTTTTGTTTGTTGGTTGGTTGGGTTTTAGAGAGAGAAGGGAGAGGGAGAAAGAAAGAAACATGGATGTAAGAGCAAAACATCAATCAGCTGCCTCCTGCATGCCCCCTAATGGGGATTGAACCCGCAATCTGGGCATGTGCCCTTGGCCGGAATCGAACCTGGGACCTTTCAGTCCACAGGCCGATGCTCTATCCACTGAGCCAAACTGGCTAGGGTCCTCCTCCCCTTTTTTTAAAAAAATATATTTTATTGATTTTTTTACAGAGAGGAAGGGAGAGGGATAGAGAGTTAGAAACATCGATGAGAGAAATATCGATCGGCTGCCTCCTGCACACCCCCTACTGGGGATGTGCCCGCAACCAAGGTACATGCCCTTGACCGGAATCGAACCTGGGACCCTTCAGTCCGCAGGCTGACACTCTATCCACTGAGCCAAACCGGTTTTTCGGCCCTCCCCTTTTTTAAAGATAAGTTTGTGAATGATTGGTATTATTTTTTAATTTTATTTTTCAATTATCATTTCCATTCAATATTATTTTGCATTAGTTTCAGTTTTATAGCATAGTGGTTAGGTAATCACATACTTTACACAGTGTTCCCCCTCATAGTTCCAGTACCCACCTGGCAGCATACATAGTATAGTATTATTTACTATATTTTCTATGCTGTGTTTTCTATCTGCGTGACTATTTTGTGGCTACCAATTTGTACTTCTGAATCCCTTTACCTTTTTACCCAGACCCCAACCCCACTCCCCTCTGGCAACCATCAGTCTGTTCCCTGTGCCTATAAGTCGGTTTCAATTTTGTTTATTCATTTCTTTTGTTATTTAGATTCCACATATAAGTGAAATCATATGGTATTTGTCTTTCTCTGACTGATTTATTTTACTCCACATGATTTTCTCTAGGTCCACCATGTCGTTGCAAATGGTAAGATTACATTCTTTTTTGTGACCAAGTAATATTCCATTTATATATATGTACCACAATTTTTTTATCAACTCTTTTATTGATAGGCACTTGTATTAGTTCCATATCTTGGCTTTAGAAATAACACTGCAGTTAACATAGCAGAGCATATATTCTTTCAAATTACTGTTTTTGGTTTCTTTGGGTATATACCTAACAGTGGAATTGCTGGGTCAAA